GGTGAGACCCCCATCTATATTAATAATATCAAAGTAAGCCAGGCATGGTGGCACACACCTGTAATCCCAGCTTCTTGGGAGGCTGAAGCAGGATAATTGCTTGAACCTGGGAGGCAGACATTGCAGTGAGCTGAGATCACGCCACTGCACTCCAGCCTGGGTGACAGAGTGAGACTGTGTCTCAAAACAAAACAAGACAAAACAAAAAACAAACAAACAAACAAAAATTATTTGCAGGCCATGCCTGGTGGCTCATACCAATAATCCCAGCACTTTCAGAGGCTGACACAAGAGGATTGCTTGAGGAGTTTGAGGTTACAGTGAGCTATGATCATCCCACTGCACTCCAGCCTGAATAACAGAGTGAAACCCTGTCTCAAGAAAAAAAAAATTTTCCCCTAAATTGGCTTCAGATAATTATTTTGAAAACCAAACAATAAAGTAAATAGCCCAAACACATTTATATGGATGATACCTACAAAGCACAAACATATATTTAGAAGCCCTTGAACAGTAACAAGCAGCATAAAAAAGGAATGTAAATCTGTCCAGCAAGGACTCCTTTATGACAAAACAACCCTGAAACATCCAAGTAGGACTAATAAAAAGGGATCCTGGGATACAGACTTTGGAATATTACATTAACTTCACTGCTCACAAGTTCTGACTAGTTTCTTATAAGTAATAGGAAATTTATAGCAGGATCCTTTATGTAAACCTCATGGCAGTAACTTGTACTTTTATCCTTAATAAAAGTGTATGAGATTCTCATCTCACTATGTAGGGTTACAAGTAATTTTTATGATATCTTTAAAAAGTTTCATGTTGAATATCTCCTCCATAATTAAAAAATGGATGTATTGGCTGAATTCATTCATTCATTTGACAAATATTCACTAAGTACCTACCACTTGCGAGGTACTCTGTTAAGTGGGGATACAGTGTGATAACGGCATGGAACTAATATCCAAGTCAACCATTGAAGTCAAAATTCTGGGCTGGCAAACTTTAGTTAGGAGTCCCCATTTTAGAAAATATTATTTCAAGCAGGCCTTGTTTTTATCCAGAGAGTATATACAGTATAATGAAACTCAGTACACCAAGATTTATAGTTCTTGTGTTTTTCTCCCTCAGTAGAGTAAAAACTCCTTCAATAAAGTGATTGTGTTGTCAACCACTGCATATTCTTAAGTACCAAGATACTTGACTCCAGGCAGGTGCAAAGAGAGTCTGTTGGGTGAGTGAATGTATATCAATGAAAATCAAACAGAGGAAATTTTCTTTATATATTTTAGTGTTCTTGTTTTTTTGTTTTTTGTTTTTTTTTTTTTTTGTGATGGTTACTTGCTCTTCTCTAAGAATAATGGAGAAAAGGTGTTAGTTTATACTGTCACACAGGGCAGTCATAGGAGACTCTGACAAAGCAAATCAATCAATGTTAAATCAGAAATGAGAATGTAGTAAGGGGGTGAAGAGACAGGGGAAGAAAATACATGGGGAAATATTGAAAAAGGACAGAGTGATCAAAAACAGCAGGGACATACGAACATTGGGCGGCACTCTGGGAGCCATTTAGTTTTATGCTCTTATTGTATGATTGAGGAAATAAAAGGTCCTTAGTGGTTAAGTGGCTTTTCAATGCCACGTCAGACTTGTTCCATAGCAGTTGAATTAGGGGAAGGTGAATAAGTTGGAAGTTGGTGACAAGGAGAGAAGTTGGAAACTAGAGAGGAGAGTCAGAACCAGAGGGAAATGAGAGACTAAACAGGC